GCCTGCTGGGATGTTTTTACGATGGGAGCATCAATGCTACAGGCGACGGAGGCTTTAATCATGCTGGTTTCGGCTCCAGTGTCCAAGGTGAGTTTAAGTGAGTGGTGGCGGTAGAAGGCATTGAAATGGGGGGACTGCTTTGTGCTGACGCGGCGAGACACAACCCTGGCCGAGGAATGGGGAGGAGAAACAAAGTCCTCCGCCTCAGGTGGACAGAAGAAATCAGAACCGGTGGGGTCATCTTCATCATCGAGGCTACTTGGGAGGCGTGCTTTGGCAAGGAAAGCGCAGTCTTCAGCAGGTAGGTAAGTGCACTGACTTAAGAAGTGAAGATCATTACGTCCAGCCTGCTTACACAAGGGGCAAGACTTGACTTGTGGTTTAGGACCTGGCTTTTGGAAGCGGTTGTAAGGACCCCTCGCAGGAGGCTGTCTGAGCTTCGATGCCGTTGAACGCAAGATTTTAGCATCGGCGTTGTTACTAATCTCTTCCAAGAGGGAATCCAATGCTTGAGAAATTTCAGGCTTGAGAGATGCAAGAGACTTGGACCTGAGCTCTGTACCATAGCGTTGCTTAACCAAACTGGGGAGGTCAGGGTGGACTAATCTCAGCCAAGTTAGGACTACAAGATTTTCTAGAGTCGGAGACATTTCCTCGTCGGAGCCGGGGACTTGACCATGGTGTGAGATATTTCCATTTCCTAATAATAGATTATCTTCGATAAAGGACATCAGACGTTGATAGAGTTCCTCAGGGCGCTCAGCAGAGGCAAGTGAGATGTTGTTGAAGTCGAAGAAGTAAGCGCCGGTCGATTGGAAACCGAAGTGAAGGCGAATCGCTTGCCAGATGAAGCTCATGGAGGTCGAGTTCTTGACGATGGTGTTACGAGAAATTACGGGGCAATAGTTCGCAATNCTGGGGAGGTCAGGGTGGACTAATCTCAGCCAAGTTAGGACTACAAGATTTTCTAGAGTCGGAGACATTTACTCGTCGGAGCCGGGGACTTACTTAGGATATTTCCATTTGCTAACAATAGATTATCTTCGATAAAGGACATCAGACGTTGATAGAGATCCTCAGGGCGCTCAGCAGAGGCAAGTGAGATGTTGTTGAAGTCGAGGAAGTGAGCGTCGGTCGATTGGAAACCGATGTGAAGGCGAATCGCTTGCCAGATGGAGCTTATGGAGGTCGAGTTCTTGACGATGGTGTTACGAGAAATTACGGGGCAATAGTTCGCAATTTGCCCGATCATTAATTCAAGATGAGTACACTTTTGTTGTGCTGTTCTGCGGGAAGCTTGAAACACGGTTTCGGGGTCGTCCTGGAAGCAGCGACGAGGGCTGCTAGGGGATTTCTTCAACCATGTCACGCCATCAGCGAGAAAGCCCGCGAAATTGCGATCGAGGGAGAGAATGTACTGAAGATTTTGTCTCCAGGCCTCAAACGACGTTATCGTTTCCTGTTTGGTGAGGGACCACTAGTATTGCTTTGGTGCTCTTGGACTCATTTCGTGCTGCTGTACGAAAGAGGAAAGGCTAAATGTGTACTTAACAGTGGGTCCTTGTGTATTGTTGACACAGCTATCGGCTAAGTTGTTTCCCCAGTTCCTCGTTTGGAAATCGGTCGACAATCCGTTATGGGCTGACTTTCTCTTAGTACGAGGCGAGGGCAATTTCCAACTGCTGCCACCACGCAAGTAATAAAGACAGACGACACGAAAATAGCGAACAACAAACACTTTACTAAGGGCAACAAAGTCGCTACAAGATGGCGGATTCGAACAACACTAGGGCCGAGCGAGGACCTGCGTAATACGCATGCGCGGCCGACAATAACCGCTGGCGCAGTTGGAAAAATAAATGTTAAGATTGTTTAGTGCTACGAAGCGAAACGCAAAGAAGGACCCAACAAGACGTCCTAAGAACCTGCCACATTTTACTTTTGAAGACGAAAGGTGCAAGTCTTCTACTTTTAAGAAAGAATAGAGCTTTTAATAAGTGAATAAAGATGGTGAGTTTGAAAGCCCAGTAATGAAATGTGACAGGTGAAATTGATCAACATGACACGAGCGTAAAACAGAGAAAAAATCTGAGTCCCCGACAGAAATGGAACCCATGCCCTCCCGAACACCGGCCAGGGCGCTCTATCCACTGAGCTACGAGAACTCGTTGAGAGCAAGGTCATTTAACTGAGTTTATATGTGACAGGCGTTCTGCATACTGCTAGGCTCAGCACTGTCGCAGTCATCGTGAGCTTAAAATTCACCGTCTTTATTTACTTATCACTAATCACGATGACTTGTGTTGAACCTAGTAGTACGCAGGACGCCGGTCATATACGAATAACGGCAACAGCCACTAAAACGCCTCCCAACAGCCAGAAAACCCTCTCCACAACGGCCAGCTAATCAACAACTGAAGAACGTTGTCTACAAAAGCCAATTTTTCTTGGACATGGTCACGAAACTTGATCCATACCGCGCGTCGTTGGTTCTATTTCTGTTTGGTTTCTGCATTATCGATGTATTTTGATTGCCTGTGTTACGTATTACTATATTGCGCTAAAATTTTCACCATCTTGCTGCTGTATTTTATTTTATTTTATTTGCTTTTTAGCGGGCGTTTTGCTATTTTTATTATTACGTAATTCTTATGTAATCTTATGTGAAAATTTTTTTANGATCTATGTAACTGTAGTTTATGAGTGTATTCTGCTTAATTGTGTCGAAGAAATAGTCTAGTAGAGGGAAAAGTGTGTCCGCTTGGTGCCATTGCTGGCCGTTTGTGCTGATAAATCGCTTTAAAACCCAGAAATAGACCAATGTTGGCTTTAGGTGTCTTAAACAGGCTCATAGAGCTGCGGCAAGTAACTCTAGTAATTTAAAAAAGCAGATATTTTGTCCCAAAAAGTTCACTAAAGGTATAATGTCAAGTGGGTGTTTCAGGTTACGCGAAAATTGGGAAGCGTCATGTTTGCACGTTTTTGACTTTATCCTTCTCCAACTCTATCATTTTATGAGAGTTAGATGTGATTTTCACCCCAAAATTAGATGTGTGTAAGGGCAATGCGTATGTAAAGTTTGAGCTAAATCCTGTTTATATGGTGCTGTCAGCACTTCTTTTAGGGAGGAATGTTTGAGTGCGACAAAATGCCTGCAAAGCGCCATTCTATCAAAGTGTGCAATTTTTGCACTTTTGCAAAAGAAGTTGTCTTAAACCGTGAGAGTTAGCCCATTTTTTGTACACAACATTAAAGAATATGTTTTTGTATGCTTGTGTGCAATGTTTCAATCTATTAGGTCTTAAAGGTAATTTTTTACAGATTTTTAAAAATATTTTCATGTCTGCAAAGCCCCACAAAATTGTGATTTTGGCTAACTCTGGAGAGATTTAGCACCTTTATTTACGAAGGAATTTCCTTGCTTCCCAAGTACGTTTCACAACTGTCTTTGCTCTTTATAACCATGTACTTTTTTAGATCAAAAGAAAGACATCTCGTTAAATTCCACAGTTTACAAAATGCACCAAGGCTGCAATCACAGTAAATTTTGAAAAATTCTCAAAAAAAATAATTTGCATGGTAACTTTACAAAACTTGTCTAAAACAGAAATCTTGTTAATGCCTTCATATTAAAAGTATAAAAAAAATAATGGCTGCAAACGCATTCTGTAGATATTTGTTTATGTCATTGATCAACAATGCAAATGACGTTGAAATGACACAATGTAAATGACTTTCATGTTCAAATGTCTAGAACTTCACCAATATTTTAGCCTTTCCTGACTCAGCTGCTGAAAACTTAACTCTTTGCATGAACTGTAACATTTAAGAGCTTGGCGTGCAACACTGGAACGTCCTTTAGAGGGCAAGTTTTTTTAATGTTTTCTGAAAATACGTTTTTTACGTAATTAGTGACCATTCATAACATATTCACAATTCGTAAACTGAGTAATCTCCTAGCTTGATATTAGGGACCTTAAGCATAGACGACGAAGAAGAAGACGACGACGAATAGTACCGCGTGAAGACTGGGACGGAACGGTCCGTTCANTTTCCTGTTTGGTGAGGGACCACTGCTTTGATGCTCTTGGATTCATTTCGTGCTGTTGGATGAATAGAGGAAAGGCTAAATGTGTACTTAGCTGTGGGTCCTTGTATATTGTTGAAACAGCTATCGGCTAAGCTGTTTCGCTAGTTCCTCGTTTGGAAATCGGTCGACAATCCGTTATGGGCTGGCTTTCTCTTAGTACGAGACGAGGGTAAGTTCCAACTGCTGCCACCACGCCAGTAACAAAGACAGACGACACGAAAATAGCGAACAACAAACACTTTACTAAGGGCAACAAGGTCGCTACAAGATGGCGGACTCGAAGAACACGAGGGCCGAGCGAGGACCTGCGTAATACGCATACGCGGCCGACAATAACCGCTGGCGCTGTCAAACTTAAAGTCAGTTCCCCTAACGTTTTGACAACATTAAAGATTCAAATTGTAACTATCGTGAGACTTGCACCGTTCGTCTTATTAGGTAGTTTAACAGAGTGATACTCTGAATAAATAGTTTGGAAAGTTTATTAAATATTTTTTGTAGCCACTAAAAGTTATTACATGGGTTAGATGAGCGTTGTCTCATGGGGTAAATCTCTCCACTTACCATATGCTAATGAGGCACAATTTTGACCCAACATGGTCCAAGCTCTCGTTAGCTTGACATTTCGGTTGGTCGCTTACGGGAGGTTCGACTGTAGTTGGAAGAACGCTACTCATTTTTAGACGATTATAACAACTGTGAATGAAGTCAACAACGATAAAACAAAGCTACTGGATGAATTTATTTTTCGTAGTGTTTCGGTTGTTTGTTTTACTGCCGAACTCGATGAATAAATTGATTCACAGTAGTCACATGACCAAGCGAGTGTGTGCAGGTGTGTTGGAAGTGCGACTTTATGTTGTTCGAGTTATTGACCTTAGTGGTGTCTAGAATATTACAATAATCTAGTGTTATTTGCTGTGGAAACCCGCTTACAACCAATAGGGACCTTAAGCATAGACGACGAAGAAGAAGACGACGACGAATAGTACCGCGTGAAGACTGGGACGGAACGGTCCGTTCACGGTGCGAAAACGGCGGGAAATCCGAAACTTAAGCTTCGCTCGACGAGAACGTGAACGTAAACAAAAAATCATAGCACAGTAAATCAATTTTTCGTCGAGATGGTTTCTTTTCACGAGCTTCAAGAACTTTTTCTCTTTAGTCACGCTCAAGGCATTTTAGATGATGAAGAACTCTTCTTGTTGTATCAGGAATACTCGCCAAAAAATCCTGATTTTTGCTATGAGAATTTTGGAAGGTTTTCTCTGGAAGATATGAACGATGCAGAGTGTTTGGCAGAATTTAGATTCAGGAAGCACGACCTTTCACTTCTTGCCGAAGTCCTTCAAATACCAGACAGCTTTACGTGTTACCAAAGAACCGTATCAAGTGGAATGGAAGCGCTTTGTATTCTTCTGAGAAGATTATCTTACCCCTGCAGATTCAGTGATATCATTCCACGATTTGGTCGACCGGTTCCAGTGTTAAGCATGGTTAGCAACCAGGTGCTTGACTACATATACGATACACACGGTCACAGAATCACTCAGTGGAATCACCAAATTCTCTCTCAGCCCTTGCTGCAACTGTATAGTGACACTATTGCTGCCCAGGGTTCTCCCTTGGACAATTGTTTTGGATTTGTTGACGGGACGGTTCGTCCAATTTGCAGACCTGCAGAGCATCAGAGAGCAGTCTATAACGGCCACAAAAGAGTACATGCTTTGAAGTTTCAGTGTGTTGCCCTTCCCAATGGTCTGATAGGTCATCTATATGGCCCCGTAGGTAAGAAATGGTTCTAATAATTCTTTATTTTGTCATATATTTCTATATCATTCATGAAAACAGTTTTGAATATTTTTCTATTTTTCAGAAGGAAGGAGGCATGATGCAGGCATGCTGGCTGACTCAAGACTCCTTAATGACCTACAAGCTTTTGCAAACTCTCCTTTGGGGAATCCATACTGCATTTATGGTGATCCAGCATACCCTTTAAGGGTACACCTTCAAGCCCCTTTCAGGGATAGAGCCTTGACCCGTCAAATGATGGATTTCAACCAGTCAATGAGCAGTGTCAGAGAATCAGTAGAGTGGCTATTCAATGATGTCACTAACTACTTCAAGTTTTTGGACTTTAAAAAAAACTTAAAAATTGGTCTCAGTAGTGTGGGTAAAATGTATGTGGTCAGTGCCCTACTTAGAAATGCCCTCACATGTCTCTATGGAAATCAGACATCAAGTTTTTTTCAGCTGGAACCTCCTTCCTTAGAAGACTACTTTTCTTAATAACCTTTTTTAATTACTTTTTGTAGTAACTTTGTAACATGGCGCCTGGGCATTATGTATAATATGTAAAATCACAGCAAATGAGAATTCAAAATGTGGTTTAATTTTACCAACATGCTTTTTGTACACTGTTACACTAATGCCAGATTCACACTATCTGCAAAAAAATGCCAACACAACAGCATGG